ATTATTATTATTATTATTATTATTATTATTATTATTATTATTATTATTATTTTAACTCGTGCACCTTAATTTCACACTGAAAATTGTCACACCAGGAATCTACGCCATTTAATATCTTTATCTCTAACTTGAATGCCGATTAATATATTTTTTCTCTTATAAAGTAGCTTCTGTGGTTCAGGTGATAATTCTTGCCAGAGAATCTGGGTTGAAGCTAGAATTGTCAGATATCCCCGTTCAGAGCCTAGTGCCAGACCCATTAAAGGCGAGAGCAAAATTCGCTAGTGCAGCTGCTCAACAGAAACACTATTTGCTATCTGATTTGACTTTCTGATGCTTTATAATTTCAGGGTTGCACCTCCGCTGAGGAGTTCATGCAGCAGCTTCCACAATACGATCAAGACATGGCTAAGCAAAGACAGGAGGCTGAAGCTGCTGGTGAAGTAAGCACTTTTTAACTTTATTCTCTGAGTGCAATATCAGAAACGAAAACATATTTTTTTTTTGAGTAAATGGAAGCAAACCCAGTTAGGGATGGCATTATCTGCAAAGTTTTTCAATGGACTTTCATTGTTTAGGTAGATATGAAATACAGAATTGGAAAAAAATAGAAGAAAAATAAGTGTGGAATGTATGTGTTCATAAACTCATGAGCTCAGCAAATACGTGAAGGTCTTGAGATATGTCGGGGTGGTCGATGTCATCAACAAACGAGGAACTGTCGAGCTACGCAAATACAAGAAAGAGCACCCGTTTGCCCAGCTTTCTGGATCTGACAACATAATAGCATTCTCAACTCTGAGGTATGAAAAGCAACCGCTGATTGTTCGTGGTCCAGGTGCCGGGGCTGAGGTTACAGCTGGAGGAGTCTTTAGTGACATATTGCGGCTGGCATCTTATCTTGGTGCACCTTCATAAGTTCATTGGCTTATGATCCTCAACTTGGAAGGCCTAGGATTGGTTTGTGCTTGGCTCGTTCGTCTATCTTCTCCGTTGAAGCTGGAGATTGTTTTGCTTTTACATTTCTTGATTCCAATGGGGTTTTGCAGCTCTGATGATTTAGGTAGCTACTGGTGTTTTGTAAGCGAAAGGTGCTAAGTTATTTTTGGAAACTAATGATCGAATTTTTTAAGACCCGCTGTTTATCTGTTTAGCTGAGGTTGTATGAAATGAGTATCAAGAGACATAAGTGGCTTGTATGTTGGCTAATTTCCTCTGCAAGGAAGATAAAAGTGGACTGCTAGTTTTTTTTGTGCTCAACACATGCTTTCGGCTTTTAGTTAACTACTTTAAAGCCAAGGCTGATGGTAGGCAAGAATGGTAGCAGATTGTTTCTTAAGTTTAAAACTTCATCATGTTGCCCAGCAAACCCTGATAGATCTTCATGTGATTGTTTTGCCTCATTGTTTAGTTTTTGCATAATAGTAGCACTACGCACATACAAACCTCATTTATATGCACATGTAAAGTTCAGTTTCATGAAAGCTCCAACAGACCTTTAATTCAATACAGAATCGAAGTAGGGAGAGACAATTCCAAAATGTGGCAGTGCGTAAAGTTGAACTCTCAGAAATTGCAAAATAGAAAATATTATATCTTACTTTCTCAGGACACCAACCTAGATGGGAAGAAAAAAAACAAAAGATGGAAATGTGCAACAAAACCTTAAAATGTGAGATTGATAAAGACCATTTCTAGGCGGTTAAAAGTACACAAGCTCGGAAAGTTCATCCGATTTTGGGACCAAGGTAATACTTTGGGTCTCTGAAAAATTTTGCAACCGTCTCGGCTTTCTCGGTTGAAAGATCAGTATTCTCCAAAATGTATTCCTTTGATGCTTTGGCTATTGCTTCTATGGAACCAACGGCTTGGTTGAGCTGCAGGGCGCGTGACAAATAAATTTTAGTAATTTTAGGCAATGGCTGGTTGTAATCTTAATAAACTGGAGAAAAACAAAGCAAACTGCAAGAATCAGGCATTGAGTTAAGCAATGTAGTAATTTTAGGCAATGGCTGGTTGTAATCTTAATAAACTGGAGAAAAACAAAGCAAACTGCAAGAATCAGGCATTGAGTTAAGCAATGACCGCATTTGCATCATGGCTATCAATTCCAGGAACGGATGTAACCACTTTGATGTACAGGTCCATGGACTGCACTGACTTTTCTCTCTGAAATTTTATCAACATTTTGTTATTAATATGCAAAATGCTAATAGTTAATTACAAATCGCACGATAAAGGTCCTATCGACAGACCTCAGCCTTCAGTTTAGCTATTGCATCCTGCCTCTTGCAAACTGCAGTGGAATGCTCGGTATTGAATCCAATACGCACACCAAAGTTCTGCATAATCATAGGATACCAACACATCCTTACCTCCACGTGCATGAGCTACCTTTACAATCTTTTCGAATCCCATCTCCAAGTCTTTCACAGGAATGAAAGTCGGCTTACCAAACTCCATGCCGTATCTTACACAAACGTGCACCTTGTTAACTAATAAAAGTGCACTTCCCAAAACATCTAAGATAAAGAATAAAATTAAGAGTTGTACTAACTTGAAATAAGAACGTATGAAGGAGTCATTCTGATCCTTGGTCGGGAGAGTAACAACCACATAGAAGTTTGCAAACTGCCTCCTCATCTTCGAAATTCTACAAAAGCAGTTGAAAAATTTAGAACGACAAAAATCCAGAAGGGTAGGCTATGATCAATCAATACCAGAGTTTTTACTTGCTAAAGATTGGTTCAGCACACTCGACATCCCAATTAGTCACAAATATGAAGGCTACAGAAAGTCCTCCGGTGTTAAAGATGAAATCCTGCATCAATTAATACAGAAGCTACTCAGGTAAAGGAAAATGGTGTTACCAATAAAGTTGCGTATGAGCAAGGTAGAAATGTAGAGTAAATACAGGAGCAATCGGCACAAAATTTAATCTGTAAGAGTTTGCATCAAGAAACGAGGAGATGAAGTTGATGAAGGATGGATGCTGTTCATCTTTCCATGCAGTGCTCATGATACAAACGCCATTGTAGCCTGCAAACCATACCCAAATCTGGATGCTCAATCACAACAACATAGAATTGCAAAATTGATGTCCATCCAAAGCCTATGTATGGAATTCCAGATTCAAAAGTGAAATCATCAGCAACAAGCACCAAAAAACAAAAAAAAAAAGAAAGAAAAAAGAGTTTCCTGTGGAATTTTCACTTGATCGCCCAACCCAATTCAGTTAGATTATAGACCAATAACATACACCAGTTAAAATTTCCTTCACCAACAGCATATCACGATTTGGAAAGAACATAATCAGGACATTGAGATCTATACTCCAAATAACTACAATGTCTCAATGTCGCTTGATTATCCCTCTTACTATAGTTTCAATATCATATTTGTGGAACAAGACAAACAGTGATTCGATCAATAACATTTCAGAATAGAAGTCAAATACAACGATGAAGCTGCATATCATACGCTAATTCAATTTCCTTCACTAGCAGCATATCATAATTTCGGAAGAACATAAACAGAACATTGCATAAATGTAGCCGACCATTGATATTTACCTGATCATCACATAGTTTAAAATTGATTTATCTACGTTCCAAATAACTACAATTTCTCACTGTCAGCTCGATTATCCCTCTGTCGAATAGTGATTCGATCAGTACAATTTCAGAATCGCAGACGAACAACATCAAGTACAACGATTAAGCTAGTTCAGCTAAAATCTGGGCAAAATTTTCGATAATCATAGAATCGAGCTCGAACAAGTTGCAGATAGCAAATAAACCTCGAAATCGAGCGTGAAAATCCGGAAAATATACCTGAATGCGAAACATTTGAAGGCGTCGATTCTCTGCTTGAGTACATCATTAATGTCAGAAGAAATTTCTGATTTTCTGAACAGTGAAATTATCTCCGCATGTGTGTGTGTGTGTGTGTGTGTGCGTGCGCGAGAGTGCGTGTGTGGTTGGCCCCATAAGAAGAGGAGAGCGGGAAGAGGAAGTTGGATTGCTGGAACTGCAGTTGCAAAAGGCGAAATTGCATCGCAGTCCCCAAACTTCGCCATTTTAGTCTATTCAGTACCGTGACTGGAAAAATAAAAGTTTAATAGATGTTGAGGGGCCAAATGTAAATTTCTAAAACGTGATCCCTTTTTCATGTTTCTAGTTGCTGCTACTCTTCAGGCAGATGATGTCATCAGCTTCGGAAGAACAAATGACGCCGCGGACAGCCGCCGTGAGCTCCGCCGCCACCGCGTCGGGTCCGCCTCGCAAACGCCTATTGTTCGACCGTCGATATGGTTGGGTGTAAGTCTTTTCTCTACCCGTCCGCATACTTTTTTTCCTCTCTTTCTCTTATAATTAATCAATTTGCTTATTATTAAAATTGCAGGTTGGACGAGTGGAAAGAGCCATCGGAAGAAGCCTTGGCCGGCGGCCGTGGAATGTATGATGAAACTACGCATTTAATTTTATTGCCGTTTGGTGAAGCAATTCAGTTTATTTTTTTTTTTCAGAAAAGAAAAATAAAAAAATTGTAGCTTTATAACGTGTTTTGTCTTCTGATAAAGTTACTTCTAATTTTATTTTATTTTATTTTTTTATTGGGGTTTTGCTCTTTGAAGGTTCTGCATTGTGCCCTTGGCAAAAGAGTTGTTTCACAAGGCATCAGAATCGGTACAGACAGCAACATTTTCCTGCCATTTGATTTTTGATAGATAGAATTTTCAACTCATTGACACATAGACTTGGATATTGCATTGCTGATTTTACTCATTATTAGCTTTAATTCTTGACGTATGTTTTGGGAAATTGAGGAATGCGTTCTTTTGGATTGTATAATGTCGAGCTCATAGCAAAGTTAAAATTAGCCCGTGGAAAAGGTTGAATGTTTGAATTGTGTATCAGCCTCTGGTCTTTGAAGGGTTGATTTAAGAAAAAGAGAGCCTATATTTTGGCATCTCAAGTCAAGTGTGAGTCTGATGTCATTTTACAAATTTAAGCTATGAAAGTTGAAGTACTGATTTATTCATTACATATTTGGTTTTGGGTTTTGCTATAGGGATAGTTAAACCAAAATTGGTGTGTGAACCAATTTATTCATTGAGAAGCCAAATAAACCTTAGGAAGAACTATGCTAATCCTGATTTGATTGTTTTTTTTTTTTAAATGATCTCACAGGGCTAATTGGATCCTACCCCCATTGGTAATGCCCCCGCGGGGGTTTTAGCTGTCATACCACCCACACTCACGCACACACCCATGCGAGTTCTTTGTGCTGAAAAGTCATTATATGGGCTAATGAGTTAATTGTAGAACTACGTATGGTCTTTGATTTGGCTTTGTATTTGTGTTACGATAATGGTCCTAACTCACGACGTGTGAGATAGATTTGGGATTTCTAGCTTTGTTGGGGGGTTTTTTTTCTGGTACTTGAAACATTTTTTACTCTTTTACAGCTAAACTTTGTTGGGAGCGCCACATTGAATGTCCTCGAAAGGCCAGACCTGCTCTCGCCCAGAGCCATTCAGTCTTCTCTTAGTGATCAAATGCAAAAAATTGCATTTTCAGTGAGGAATACAAAATTGTTTTTGGCGGGACCCAAAAGAGATGACGGAACCCAATCTCCATCTAGGCAGCTTGAATCAAAGTAACCAATTTGGTTTCCAATGAAGTCTGAGTATGAAGCTTATGGATGATAGGAACTTTCGACTTTTGATGTTCTTTCACAAAGTCAGTTCTTGCCTTTGCATTTAGCTTCAGTTCTTGCCTTTTCTACTAGGGAGGCCTGAGAATGACTCGGTTTGGTCAAAATTAAACATTATCAGGAAAAGAATTTATACTTTCTTCGTGTAATGTTGTTCTCTTTTTTTCTTTCTTCTCAGTTGTTCATTTTTTTTGAGATACAATGCAATGTGGATGTGAAATTCAGGAGCAATTAAGAATGATTTGTGCCAAGTTAGTTACCTCTACAGTAAGAGCATTGGGGGCGATAGGCACATACCCTTCCATTTTATTTATTTATTTATTTATTTATTTATTTATTTATTTATTTTTTTTATAATATGTTAATTCAAAAAAATATTATCCACAAGACAAGAGTACAAGAAGCATCCGTGCAAATAAATGAAACAAATATAAGTTAAAACTTTTTTTTTTAATTATTATTATAGTTTGTTCCACATTGTTGTAAAAGACGTAACTTTATCATACATTTTGACAGTTAAAAGTGAATAAGAAAAAAACGTAATGACTAGTTAATATACTTTTTTTTTTAATGTATTTGTGTTAAGCAATTTAAATGTAGATGATTAAAGTGTTAAAAATTCAAGCATCACTAGCTGCAATTATTGTAACTCCAAAATAGCAATTATGCAAAACTGTTTTTTCTCGTCACTCAAATTGATATTTTTTTTTACTAATTATTAACAACTAAATAATTTTACTAATTGAAAAATTTGTATTTTCTATTAATTTTACAAATTTAAAACATTTTAAAAATAAAAAATGCCACATAAAATTTTAGAGAAATAAACTCAGATGTGGGAATTTGGTTATTTCGAAAAAAGCACAATAAAAAGAAGTCCATCAAAAAATTGACACCGGTCGGATCTCCAAACGCAGGCGCCGGATTTCCCAGGTACATAGTCACTGTAAAGATCACCTTTTTCTTCTTCCTTTTTTGTCTGCTTTTACTAGATTTGGCCTTTGGGTAACTATTTGATTTCATTCACTTTTGAATTATTCCTGCTAACATTTTAGACTCCTCTTGCATTGCATTTTTGTTGTTCGATCTTCTTTACTTTGTTCAATTTTACAGAAATTGGTCAATAAATTATTTGGGATTTTATGGGTTTAAGTGTTCATTTATGTTCTTATGTTCTTGGATATAAGTGTTGGTTTGAATCTGAGGCTTAACTAATAGCCTACTTTTTGTTTGATTTCAGCCCTTAAGATACCGTTTTATGATGGAACCATTTGTGCAGCAATTTAGTCATGCATTGGACACTCTTATGATGTCTTTTGCTAGAACCATCTGTACAAGAATTTTTATGCAACATGTTTAAATTGTTAGGTGGACCTAAGTGCACCAGCTGAGTGCCCAATTTCAGGCTTGTTCTGTTTGCAAAGCTTAGAAAGCCGATATTAATGTCGGTCAGTGACTAATCATAACATCCTTATGAACAAATTATCAGGAGCAGTTGATTTTCTGTTTGTGTAATTTAATTGTAGTTGCTTATCTTAGTATTAGTCTATTTATACTTGTTTCTTTTTTGACGCAGTCTTTTTTCTCTGTCCACGCCTGAGAATTTTGCCGCCGGGTATAGCTTGAAAAGAGCTCAGGAAGAAGCTGCTGCAATGGGAGTATCTGGCAAGCCACGACTTTCAGGAATACAAAAGCAAGTGATTGCTCTGTACAGAGGATTTTTACGAGCAGCGCGTACTAAATCACCCGAAGAACGTATCAAAATAGAGTCCATTGTGTCTGAGGAGTTCCGCCGTAACTCCACTCAGGTCGACCGCAAAAACTTTCTTTATATTGAGTATTCAATTCGCCGTGGTAAAAAACAGCTGGACCAGCTAAAGAGCCCAGATACTGTTGGCATGTCATCCTTAAATATTCATGTTTATCAGACAAAACAATCTTAGTTACATTTTCTGACATTTATTTTTAATGTTTTTTGATTATCCATTTATGAATTTGTTACAAACATTTACAGCATTACACTACAATGGGAGAATTTACAGCATTATGATTTATCCTTTTTTTTTCTTATTTTTATTTAACGTCCATGCATCTCCTTTTTCACGTATTCTCATATTCCCCTTGATCTATGAGAAATTTTTTGGTTGGACATTAGGCAATTACAAATAATTAATCATTTAAGTTAGGCTTATTGCACAAGCTATCTGCATATATTCTGAAAAGCTTCCCCAGGAAACAACTCTATTCGAATATTCTTCCATTAGTTAGTCAGTATTTAACTGCGCCGTGTGCAATGTGTACAAGAAAAGCACAAGCAGACTATTGTGTGACTCACAATTTTAAGGGGAAGCATATTGCCTTCACGGCATATATTCTTTTGAAATTTCAAAAGTATTACGTGCTATATATTCCCATTTGCCATTATTTAAACACATACGCATTTCAATAACACAACACTTCCTGTGTACTTAATGATAGTTTACTTCAAAGTTCAAATAAAATATTTTGTAATGAGTACGAAATCGAATAAAAAGGCCCATTTTACAAGCGAATGATTATGTCAATTGGGTTGATAGTGAAATGAGAGAATATGTGCATTTTGTGTACTGCTGGATAATAGTTTATGTTAGGGCTGGATAATTTAGCTACTAATGAATCGGATTTCCATCTCATTGTTGCAATGAATTCTTGTTTTGGGAGCTCTTTCAGGTAAAGCTAATGTGGAATGTGGGAATTTTACCCATCAGCTTCATGCTTTTATTGGTACAATTTTCTGAGATACCATGGAGGTAGCTTTAGTTAATAAGCAAAGAAGAAACCTAAGTAAGAGTTACTAGCCACTTTTGTTCCTTTGTTCAGGGTGGAGATAGACGTTCAATCTTTTAGGACTAACTCATAGTAGTAGTAGTTAACAACTGCAAATTAAAGCACATCTTATACCACATGTAAGTAAAATTAGTTTTGCATCACATAGTATTTATTATATAATACTGTAAAAAAAAAATAAAAATCCCCAAGTTAATAGGAAGGTCATGATTGATTGGAGAAAGATGGGTCCGGAGAAGTTGGATGCTGAATCATACACAATTGTATCAAAACAATGTAAATAATCGGATGAGGAAGGACCATTACAGCGCACTGTCCACGTGATGACATGTGAGCAAACACTAATCTTCACGACATAGTTAATTTATATGTGCATTATCCACAACTGTATCTGAATGCTGCTCAAGTGTCGTGGTCCTGTAATATATATCTTGGAAAGGTACTTTACACTGAATTTTTCTTTATTGATACTCATTGTTCTTGATTCTTACTGTGTTCTTATGATCATTATACTCGGACTTGGATAGGATAGGATTGCGCACGTCGGATAGGATTCCACATTAGCTCTCTTGCTGCGGCGTGGTGGAATGACCTCTAGGGTGAAATCTGCAGAGGTCATGCATTTGCTTATTTCCAAATTCTTGGTTTGAGAATAATGCATAATCATTAGGATCTCAATAGGTATTCTGTTAGACTCCTTAATGGTTAGACAATCATACTTTTCCTACAAAATGTATATAATTTCACACTCAAATGTCATACTTTTTAAATCTATATATATATTGAAAGAGGTTGATGGAAAAATCAGAAATAGAAAGTTGAAAAATATGTGTCAAACCTTTGACTTACCAATTTTGGAAGTGTTGTTTAAAATTTAATTGGAGAATGTCTCACGCGTGTGATAATGATTTGTGGCAATTTAAAATTCTTTTTGGTATGACTTGGGATGCAAATCGCACACCAAGAATTCAGTTTTTAATTAAAACTAGTACAACACCCGTGTATTACACGGGTGCTTGCTAATTTTTTTCTTAAAATTCAAAATTAATGAGAAAAAAGTAGTTTGAAAATTTAAATACCTTTTATAAGAATATATATATTATATATTATTATATATTTATTATGATATTTTTTATTTGTGCGACTTACTTGTGTTATATTATACTAATTTTATAACTTACACTATATAACTACATTAAATATAAATATATCAATTGAGAAATAATTTTATTTTGCTAATAAATTTTAAAAATATTATTATTTTTTATTATTATAAAGATAAATATAATTTATTTATTTTATATATACAATATGGATGTCAAATCGAAGATCATCAAAAGATGATTAATTTGATATATTATATATGTAAAACCGAGAAAAAATACAAAAGTTATCTACTTTTAAAATACATTTATAATTCAATAGCTTATTGAAGGAAGTAAATCAAAATTTAGGGATATATTAGTCACTTAGTGTCTCACTATGTAAAATTACAAATAATTAAAAGGTTATATTAGTAAAAATTGATATTAAAATACCTAAGTTAGCTAAATAATATTTATGGAATACCCGAACCTAGATTATTAATTATTAATATATTAATATTATTTGTCCAAACCTAATTACGAAGCATGATTCTTCGCCAAATAGGATTCCGAAGCACCAGAAGCAGCCACGTAGGCTCAGCGCATTCCGAAATTATATATAGGGAGGATTAGCTTTTCAGTTTTTGGTAAAAATTTGATAATAAAAAAGCTAATACATTGTTACCTTTTTTTAGGGAACACACTTATAACAAAAAAATATATCATTCTTAAAAATTGTTTTATATTTTGATTGCAACATCAATTATATCTACAAAAAATTCTTTCGAAATTTCGTTACATAATTTAAGGAAATCCAGTTAAAACAATTCTTAAAGGACTCGAATAGTTCATTTTATGTAAGTAAAAATCTAAGCAAATAGTAAAATATATATCATTTAAAAGATCCATTATTATCTTATCTCAAAATAAGTCGGACCGAATGTAAACTTACATAAATCATTTACAACATCTTTTAGCATTTTTTTCAAACCGTAATCTATAGAATCCCACTAATTTCATTTTTTTTACCATATCAATATGTCGCTCGTGTAGTGTTTTTTAATTCGGTTTCCCGAAAAAACAAGCTATACTTGACATTGAGGGTTGCCCGGACATTTGAAAAAAAATTCGAAGCCAAGTTGTTGGAAATAATTTTAATGATGAAGAGGTAAGAATTTTTTTTTTTTACTTTTCATTTATTATTATCAAATCCATATTCTAAAATTTTTAAATTATTAGTTTGTGGTGACGATGAATCACCACCAAATAAAAAAAAAAACGTTTTTTTTACAAAGAAATATTCAATAATCTTTGAATTTTTTAAATTGTCCGACATGTTTACATTTGTTACATATATATCAAATCTATTAAAATTAATATTCAATAATAAAAAAGTTTTAGAAAAATATATATGCTCGTGCATCACACGGGCCACGACTAGGTACAATATAAGCAAAAGCATTGCATTTCATAGTATAAGTATGCAATTTTTTTATTTTATTATTATTTTTTTTTTAGAAAATGTGGCTGTTTAATGATTAAAAAGTGTTAGGATCTATATATTGTTATCCATCCATGCACAAGGATATATTTAGGGATAAGATTTCATGTTCCGAAATTGTATTTCAATTCAGGTTGCATTTCATGGAATGAATGACCCCCCCTTTACATAATGATGCCAGTTTTGGGGAAAACGAGTGCAGCCTCACGCACGTGAAGTGCACCGGTATCTTAAATGTACTATAGTGAGGTTCCATCTTAAAACTAATTAGTAGTAAGAGGAGTAACCCACTGAGTTTATAAGTTAGACTTATTTTCTCTGTATAAACGATGTGGAACAATTCACAAGTGATATTCTAACACGTCCTCTCACTTGTAGGAATGGGAAATTCACAAAGACAACTCGCCCTCTTCAAATATCTCTTCGAGATCCAATGTGTCTTGGTAGAGAAGGCGGGTAGCGAGCAAGCTGCGAAAGCTATCATTGGAATTCGCAAGATAAGCAAGACGGGTTGAGAAGTTGCTATGACTTTCTAATTCCCCGTGGTACATTGAAGCCTTGGACGGGGTTGTTTAGGGGCCTTGCAATACCCCCAAGCACTCCTTCATTCTTTGGCTACGAGTGTTCAATCGTCTCCGTACAAAGGATCGGTTAGAGTTCCTTGAGATAGACCCGACTTGTTCCCTTTGCGGCGGAGTGGATGAATCATGCCCATTTAGTTTGGAGATATGAGAGGATACTTATGATTGGATTAGCCTACGTCAGAGGCCATTAACTCTCAAAGGGGCCCTTAAATGGACTACGAAGGAGGTTAGAGGGACTAATTGGCAAACTAAGATGAAGAAAGCGGGGCTCGTAGCAACAGTGTACTTCATTTGGAATGAGAGGAATAAGTTGGTTTTCGAGAATGAATCTCAACCTCCAAACCCTTGTGTACGTGAATATGACTTTAAAAAGCAAATATAAATATGATATTTGATAATATAAATATTTATATTTTACTCATAAAATGTTGGAAAAATCAGTTATAAAACTTGGGTTTGACCCGGTTTTGACTGAATTTT